TGTGTCACGTGAAGGCCAGGAACCCCTGTCCCCCAGTGGCCTCGCTGGAGACCTTGTGTGGCTCCAGTCTTTGGAGGCCTGAGAGCCCTCGAGATGAGTGTAGGTGCCAAGTTGCACGCTTGAGGTGAAGAGCACAAGTGCTCACCTGCGGTGGCTCCGCTCAGCCATCAGGCAGGGGCCTCTTCTCTTTGTTTTGTTGAGGCCTTCGCCTGATTGTACAAGGCCCACCGCACGGGAGGTCTCAGCTGTGCTCAGTCCTCTCAGGGTCAGCCTGTGGCGCAGGCTATGGCTCTTCAAGAGCACTGTCGTCCCTCCAGAGCCCATTCCTGCCTGCTCTGCAGACAGCGCACATCCGGAGAGCAGCTTTCCGGTGCTGCTTGTGCTTCCAGATTCACCAGGAAGTGGGCGGTGGCTGTCGGGCAGCCCGCAGTGACCCGGGCAGCAGCGCCAACGTGAGCCCTTCTGGAATGTGCTACGTAACAAGCCGTGCAAAGGAGGCCCTTGCTGTTTGTCACACTGGAAATTCCCAGGAGATGAAACAGAATCCACTTCCCACGAGGCTGACACCCTAGGTCTCCAGGCAGCCTGATCGCAGCGTTGGGTGTGGTGAAGCCTCAGATGCTGAGCACCAGGAGGGCTTCTGGGCGGGGAGTCTACGCGGCGGGCAGGGCCTGGTGCGCATGCGCTGTCCGTCTCCCAAGGCGCGCTGCATGGCCACACGTGTGTGCACACCTGCATGCACGCGCACATTCAAGAACACACGAAGGCTTGAGGTGAAAGTGCTGGAGCCCCTGGGGCCTCTTCTACTCTTCTTAGGCACTTTTCATGTTAATGGGAAGAGAGAAAACGTGAATAAGAGCTTGTTTTTCAAACCCAAGGGAAGATTCTCTCAGGCCGCAGTCCTGCAGTGTATCCTGTGAGCTATCAGTTCAGGTGGGGTTTTAGAATGTCCCCCTTTTCCCTGGCACCCACAGATAGACTGCCTTTCCCACCAGTAGCCCGAGTGTCATGGGAATCCTCAGCTTCCCTCATTTGAATGTCGGGCTGTTGCCAGCAGCCTCTTCTTCAGATGAGAGGGCTTCTACAGCCCCCCTCCCCCGTCACGGTAGCTGATGCAAAGCACCATTTCAAAATAGTACTTATGCACACAGGGTCGCAGCCGCAGCCCACCTTTCTGTCATTTCCCACGCTCTGGCCTCTGAGCCTTCATGGGCCACCAGCCAGCACTGTGCCTGTGACCTCCTGTCCAGGTTGCCTTTGCTGTTGTTGCTCAGGAGGCGTTGCTCCGTCACACCATGACTTGGGGTGCCTCGCAGGGTGCCAAGATGGCTGTGTTACTGAGGCTGCTTGCTCCTGAGGAGCGCACTTGCCCTCCAGCATGGACCTACCCTGTTGTTTAAATCATATTTTTCTTAGCTCAGGCTTGTGGGGCACACTGATTCTGCTCCTCATGGGGAGCTGGTGTGGGTAGAGAACGCGTCTGTGGCGGTTAACTGACGACCGTGTCAACCTGAGTGAGAAATGCCCGCCTAATTAGATCTGCACCGCTCTGAGCGTGGCTCAGGGGATTCGCCGAGACAGAAGACCCACCCTGGGCAGCCTGATGCCCGAGTGGGGCAAGGGGAGGCGCAGGAGGAGGGCTGCCTCTGTTCCTTCAGAGGACCTGCGCCTTCGCCTTCACCTGGGACGTCGCCCCGACCCGTCGGCCTCCTGATGGTGACTCGCTCGGGACACCGCAGCGAGCTCCAGGCCGCCCCTGGGTCCTCCAGCTCTCCGGCGGCGCAGACAGCCCCTCTGCACTCTCCCACACCTGCCCTGTGCACGGCTGCTGTGAGCCGATCTCGTAAATCCTTATGCGCTCGTATATCTTGCCTTAAATCTATTTTTTCTGGTGAGTATTGACTGACAAAAATATAGTAACTGCTTTTACTTCCCTGCTTGGCCTCTGCTACCCCTCTTGGTCCCTGTTCCATTTGCAAAATATCTGCCTCCCTGTTTCCAATTAGCTACCCATGCTTTGCTCTTCACTTATACTTTAGATTTCTCTTTTTTGACTTTTTAGTTTTTAAAGAGAGTACAAAATAGTATTAAAACAGAAACATTAAAAATGATACAGAATTTCACTAACAAAGAGTATGAATTTCACAGTATTTGTTATAATGCATAGTGTTGTCTTCAGATTAGTTATTCATATTACCAGATACATGCATGCAAAATTGGAAGAAGAAAGAAAAAGAGAAAGCAATATATAAGAAATTAAGAAGAGGAAAAGGTTAAAGAATTGAAAAAAGGGATGGAGCAAATGAGAAACAATGTGATTTTTAAGCTCATGTGTCTGGTTTTTGTCACAACAGCACGAGCTGAAGTTGCATGCTGTGTACCCGTCTACGTGGCAGGGCAGGGCTCCACTGTGAATAAAGACCACACTTGCTTCATCCGGTCCTCTGGTGGTTATGGACTTGGAGAGCACTTCCAGGATGCAGACACGATGGACCACACTGCCGTAAGCATGGACGTGCATGGGTCCCTGTGGGACAGTGTCTAGTGACCATCAGAGCCCCTCTAAGTCTCACGGCCATACCACCAATTACAGTTACATACAGTTCTAAATTAAAGCCACAATTTCACAGAGATCATCTTGTTTTGAATACAAATAATTTCAATGTAGTACTCAGCCATGAAACATTTTTGCTTGAATTAATTGTTATCACGATTCCTTGACAATACTCTGTCAGGCTATGCACCTAGTAGCGTCCAGCACATGGATGACTTTATGATCACATGCCAGGTATGCTCTGGCAGTGATTCTCCTTGGTGCCATCTCCCAACACTGCCTGGGTTAGGGAACCAAGTCCTCTGTTGAAAGGCAAGTCTAGGGTCCAACCATTCCTCACTCAGGCCTCAAGGGCCCTAGCATTTCTGCACTGCATCTATATTAATCTGGCTTCTCTAGAGAGTAAGGACACATGGGTCAGATGGATGGGTGG